CCCCCCCCCATCATATCAACAGTCCTCCCTTCACTTCAGAAGCACCCATTACATTTTAAGTTCTCTCTCATATCAGATGCCAACCCCCCCCACCATCACACCAGAAGTCCTCCATTCACATCAGAAGTTCTCCCTTCACTTTAGAGGCCCCCTCATCACATCAACAGTCCCCCTTTCACACTGGAAATGTTCCCATCAGATCAGAAGCCCCCCATCATATTAGAAGCCCCCCGTTACATCAGATTCCCCCTATCCCATCAGAAGCCCCCCATCACATCTGAAGAGCTCCCTGCACTTCAGAAGCTCCCCATCACATCATAAGTTCTCCCTTCATATCAGATACCACCCCCCTTCATATCAGAACCCCGCCATTGCATCAGAAGTCCTCCCTTCACCTTAACCCCCCCCCATATCTGAACCCCCCATCACATCAAACATCCTCCCTTCACATCAGATCCCCCCCCCCCTTCATATCAGAACCCCCACCCTATCACATTCAAAGTTCTTCCTTCACATCAGATACCCCCCCCCCCTTCATATCAGAATCCCCACTCTATCAGATCTGAAGTTCTCCCTTCACATCAGATACCCCCCCCCCCTTCATATCAGAATCCCCACCCTATCAGATCCGAAGTTCTCCCTTCACATCAGATACCCACCCCCTTCATATCAGAACCCCCCCATCACATCAGAAGTCCTCCCTTCACATCAGATACCCCCCCCCCTTTCATATCTGAATCCCCACCCTATCACATCCGAAGTCCTCCCTTCACATCAGATACCCCCTTCCTATCAGAACCCCCCTTCCATCACATCAGAAGTCCTCCCTCCACATCAGATAATCCCCCCCTTCATATCAGAACCCCCACCCTATCACATCAGAAGTCCTCCCTTCACATCAGAAGTCCTCCCTTCACATCAGATTCCCCCCCTCCCCCTTCATATCAGAATTCCCACCCTATCACATCCAAAGTCCTCCCTTCATATCAGATACCCCCTTCCTATCAGAACCCCCCTTCCATCACATCAGAAGTCCTCCCTTCACATCAGATAACCCCCCCCCCCTTTCATATCAGAGCCCCCACCCTATCACACCAGAAGTCCTCCCTTCACATCAGATAACCCCCCCCCCTTCATATCAGAACCCCCACCCTATCACATCAGAAGTCCTCCTTTCACATCAGAAGTCCTCCCTCCACATCAGATAACCCCCCCCCTTCATATCAGAACCCCCACTGTATCACAACAGAAGTCCTCCCTTAACATCAGATCCTCCCTCCCCCATTTCGTATCAGAACTCCCCTGACCCCTGCACTCTGTACCAGGGGTGGACTGACAACTCATGGGGCCCCCGGGCAATAGGGGATCATGGGGCCCCTGTGTCTTTGCCCAGACTCAAAAAAGCCTATGAAAAGGTACCAGGAGCATGTCACGGGGCCCCCTACTGACCCCGGGCCCTTGGGCAGTGCCCGAGTTTCCAAATGGTCAGTCCACCCCTGGTCTGTACATTCCTAACTCCTGACCCCTGAAGGCTGAACCTCCAGTACAGAAAAAAAATATCTATGGCCTTTGCATGCAGACAGACAGTGTAGGAGGTTATCAGCTTATAAGATTGCTGGCATCTGGATCAGCAGATATTTGTTCTTCTTATTGAACAGATATTTAAAAAAAAAAAGAACTTTCAATGGTATATTTATCAGACCAAAAGGGAGCAGATAATAAAATGTCATTGTACGGGTTTTACACACAATTCAGAGTTATCTGATAGTAATCAAAGAACAATGTATTTGTGACTTTGTTACTTCATTTGCCACTTTACTATATAGGAATGTTAACATTGTTCTAGATGGTCTTCTGTAATTTGGCCACTAGATGGCAGCAGGGTTTAAAAAAATTCAATTACCACATCCTGATGATTTTCCTGATATAAAACATTAATATTCGTTATATTTCCCCAAGTATTGGACCGCCGGCCTTTCCCCGCACATGACCTTTAATGGCCCCCCAGTCTTTGTCCATAGGGTTCAATATTGAGTTGGCCCCACCCTTTGCAGCTATAACAGCTTCAACTCTTCTGGGAAGGCCGTCCACAAGGTTTAGGAGGGTGTCTATGGGAAGGTTGGACCATTCTTCCAGAAGCACATTTGTCAGGTCAGGCACTGATGTCGGGGGAGGAGGCCTGGCTCGCAGTCTCCACTCTAATTCATCCCAAAGGTGTTCTATGGGGTTGAGGTCAGGACTCTGTGCAGGACAGTCAAGTTCCTCCACCCCAAACTGGCTCCTCCATGTCTTTATGGACCTTGCTTTGTGTACTGGTGCGCAGTCATGTTGGAACAGGAAAGGGCCATCCCCAAACTCTTCCCACAAAGTTGGGAGCATGAAATTGTCCAAAATGTCGCCTTAAGAGTTCCTTTCACTGGAACTAGGGGGCCAAGCCCAACCCCTGAAAAACAGCCCCCACACCATAATCCCCCTCTGTGACGGAGGAGTGGGTGGAACAAAACAAACATGGAGAGCAGGAATACACACAAGTCTTTTATTGAAAGGCAAGGAAAGCAGAGTTCTGGTAGGCAAAGGGGTAAATCTGTAACACAGGGCTGAACACACTACAGGGATAGCAGGAATCCAGCAGACAAAGGGTTAAGTTCGGCACGCAGGGCAAAAGGTCCAGGCAGAGAAGAGTTAAGTCCAGCACACAGGGCAAAAGATCCGAGCAGAGCAGAGTTATGTCCGGCACGCAGGGCAAAAGGTCCAAGCAGAGCAGAGTTATGTCCGGCACACAGGGCAAAAGGTCCAAGCAGAGCAGAGTTAAGTCCGGCACAAAGGGCAAAAGGTTCTCGGCAGAGCAGAGTTAAGTCCGGCACACAGGGCAAAAGGTTCTCGGCAGAAGGGGGTTTAGTCCAGAGTCAAAAGCAACAGTCCATCTAGGCTAGATCTAGGGGGGTGCTGGGGTGGGCTGTGGCCCCCCCAGATTTCATTTCTGCCCCACAAAGCTTACTGGACTCTGTGCCCTGCCGCTGGGCTCCTGTTCCCAACCCTGTACTGCACACACAGAAGACACTGGCAGTGCAGCTCCCCGTCTCCCGCACAGCAGAGTTCACGTTCCTTTACATAGAGCCAGGACAGTGCACAATGCAATGTGAGGGGATGTAAACTGCAGAAGAAGAATAAGTGGGAAAAGTGTGAAATGGAGATGGTGACCATACCATCATCCTGACTCAGAGGGTAGGGGGCGCACCCCTCTGTTACTCAGTGACCATACCATCATCCTGACTCAGAGGGTAGGTGGAGCACCCCTCTGTTACTCAGTGATAGTACCATCATCCAGACTCAGAGGGTAGGAGGAGTGCCCCTCTGTTACTCAGTGATAGTACCATCATCCCAACTCAGAGGGTGCCCCTCTGAGTCGGGATGATGGTACGGTCACTGAGTAACAGAGGGTAGGAGGGAGCGCCCCTCTGTTTACTCAGTGACCGTACCATCATCCTGACTCAGAGGGTAGGAGGAGAGTCCCTCTGTTACTCGGTGATCGTACCATCATCCGAACTCAGACTGCAGGAGGAGAGCCCCTCTGTTACTCTGTGGCCGTACCATCATCCCGACTCAGAGGTTAGGAGGAGCGCCCCTGTTTTTCTGCAACCGTACCATCATCCCGACTCAGATTGCAGGAGGCGAGTCCCTCTGTTACTCTGTGACCGTACCATCATGCCGACTTAGAGGGTAGGAGGAGCGCTCCTCTGTTACTTGGGGACTGTACCATCATCCAAACTCAGAGGTTAGGAGGAGATCCCCTGTTATTCTGCAACCGTACCATTAGTCTAACTCAGAGGGTAGCAGGAGAACCCTCTCTGTTACTCTGTGACTGTACCATCATCCCGACTCAGAAAGTAGGAGTGCCCCTCTGTTTCTCAGTGACTACCATCATCCCAACTCAGAAGGTAGGAGGAGCGCCCCTCTGTTTCTCAGTGACTGTACCATCATCCCAACTCAGAAGGTAGGAGGAGCGCCCCTCTGTTTCTCAGTGACTGTACCATCATCCCGACTCAGAAGGTAGGAGGAGCGCCCCTCTGTTACTCAGTGACTGTACCGCCATCCCGACTCAGAAGGAAGGAGGAGCGCCCCTCTGTTTCTCAGTGACTGTACCGCCATCCCGACTCAAAAGGTAGGAGGAGCGCCCCTCTGTTTCTCAGTGACTGTACCATCATCCCGACTCAGAAGGTAGGAGCGCCCCTCTGTTAGGAAAAATGAATAGGAATAGCAGTAGAGACACCTTACAGAACCACATTCCTTTGAGACAAGTCCTCTTGTATTTCTAGTTATTGAGAAGACTGCTTATCCCATAATTTAGCATCTTTAGAAGCGTCCAGTTTCCCGGGTCTTCCATCCGAGCATTAGGCTGTCGAATGGGTGGAGTTATGTGTTAAACATTAGAGGACTGTAAACTATAAAAAGGCTTAAACCAACTTCAGAGCCTTTGTAGGACAGATAATTGTGCAAGTTCAGGGCAAGGCGGAGCAGAATGGCTCTGCCTAAGGACTGCTGCTGGCATTGGATATCAGCCACACATGGAGAGCATTGTTTTCAGTGAGTCGGCCGACTCCACAACTGCTATACAGCACTGCAAAGTAGGATGCAATGTTGGAATATGTAAAGCCAACATCTACATAGATAATCACAATCCATACATAGATGCATTTTTTTTTATTTTGTTTTTCAAAAACAAAAACACAATAATAACATTTCATATAAAACTCATCTCTTTTACACGTCATAAAAAATAAGACTATACAATTCTCTTTACAGTGGAAATCCCCAATAAACAAGTATCATTTTTTATTATAAATAGAGTCACATAAAAAGACATGATTCTGCAATTGAAATGATCCAGGATCTGGCCGCACTTTACAGGGGCCCAGCTATGGCATGACGAGTCATTTGGCAGAGATCGGCCTCACGGTCCCAATGTTTTTGTTGTTCTTTTTTGCGTTTCTGCACTTCGATCAATCCTGTCCCGTAGATTCCTGTAGATACAAATAGTGATCATCATCAGTATAAAAGCAGATAAGATCATCCTGAGATTCAAATGTCACAAATGCATGAAAAAAATAATGTGAACCCCACAGTGGTCCGAATATATTGTCACAGTGTGAGAACCTGACAGTGTAAAAGCAGGCAGAAGGGACACAGGGTTCGCAGAGTGAGGGGTCCCAGAATGTCCATGATAAATGGAAAGGCTTTGCAACTTTCTCTTGGTTCTGCAATTTCCAAATTGGGTTCCAGAGTCCAAAGGCTTCAAAGAGTCTCAGGTGGGATGAAGCCTTTAACCCTGGAGACCAGCAGGGTGTGTGCACAGCCCTTATAATAAAGTGCCTGCCAGCAGGTCAGGGCTCCCATTAGGAGACAGGTGTGCTCAAGTAGGAAAAACTGACGAATAGATTTATCACTGAAAGCAACTCAGATCCCTACACAGAACACTCACCTTCTCCCTATAGCATCACCCCCTCACTGTCAGGACCTAGGTCTGAACCTGCGACCTCTGCTGTGTCTGGCAATGTGTCCTCTCGCTGAGCCACCTGAGATGCTGGACAGCACCCTGTCTGAATCAATGAACAATCCTGCTTGAACCTTGTTCCTGCTACTCCATGAACTTTCTATTTAAGCTATGCCTTTGCACTTCCTGTTTGCCAGAATATTGTACTGTCTGCAGCCAATATCTTGCTCTAGTCACGCCTGCTGCCATCTATATCTCTGCTACCACTCTTTACCTATTTTTGCCTTGTTCCTTGATTACGCTTCTGCTTAATCCCAACCTGGGACCATTTGTTACCGACCTCTAGCTAGTTAACTGACTACGCTTCTGCTTGATCCCTACCTGCTATATCTGCTACTGGACCCCACCTTGCTCACCTCCTAGTGGGGCGATCCTGAGGACCACAACCTGGTACTAACATGCAGCAAAACCCATCTCCACCATCAGGGGCTCTGGTGAATACCAGTTAGTGCCTCGACTTCGCACCTCAGGTGAGCCAGGGTCATCCTCCAGGGTGACCTGCTGTTGCACTTATCCAGCTGGTCGGTGAACGCCTCTCTACTGCGATAGCTATGGGACTCTGAGCCTGACCCCTGATACTCAATTACCAAAATGCTGCAATAACTCGGTCGCCAGGGAGGCAGGAGCAATGAAGGGATACCACTGGAGCAAATTAGTGTTCTGCTCCTAATAATCCTGTCGTTGGCAAGTTGCCACTTATAATGTGCCTTGGGCCTTGAAGAGTCAGATCATAGACTGATATGGGCCTTTGGTTGAAGAGTTGATGGATCTTACAATGACATGGGACTTTGGTTGAAGAGTTGGATCATAGTGTGACATGGGCCTTTGTTTGAAGAGTTGATGGGTCATAGTGTGATATAGGTCCTAGGTTGAAGAGTCAGATCATAAACTAATATGGGCTTTTGGTGGAAGAGTTGATGGATCATTTAATGATGTGGGCCTTAGGTTGAAGAGTCAGATCATAAATTCACATGGGTCTTTGGTTGAAGAGTTGATGGATCATAGTGTGACACGGGCATTGGTTGAAGAATTGATGGATCATAGTGTGATATAGGTCTTAGGTTGAAGAGTCAGATCATAAACTAATATGGACTTTTGGTTGAAGAGTTGATGGATCATACAATGATGTGGGCCTTAGGTTGAAGAGTCAGATCATAATTTCACATGGGTCTTTGGTTGAGGAGTTGATGGATCATCGTGTGACACAAGCCTTTAAAGAGTTCAGATCATAACATGACATGGGCCGTATTATGAAGGGAAAAATTGTAATGTGACATGGGCCTTTGGTTGAACAGTTGAAGAATCATAGTGTGACATAGGCCTTAGGTTGAAGAGTCAGATCATAGACTGATATGGGCCTGTGGTTGAAGAGTTGATGGATCATACAATGATGTGGGCCTTAGGCTGAAGAGTCGGATCATAGTGTGACATAGGCCTTAGGTTGAAGAGTCAGATCATAGACTGATATGGGCCTGTGGTTGAAGAGTTGATGGATCATACAATGATGTGGGCCTTAGGCTGAAGAGTCGGTTCATAGTGTGACATGAGCCTTAAGTTGAAGAGTCAGATCATAGACCGATATGGGCCTTTCGTTGAAGAGTTGATGGATCATACAATGACATGGGCCTTAGGTTGAAGAGTCAGATCATAATTTCACATGGGTCTTGGGTTGAGGAGTTGATGGATCATCGTGTGACACAAGCCTTTAAAGAGTTCAGATCATAACATGACATGGGCCGTATTATGAAGGGAAAAATTGTAATGTGACATGGGCCTTTGGTTGAACAGTTGAAGAATCATAGTGTGACATAGGCCTTAGGTTGAAGAGTCAGATCATAGACTGATATGGGCCTGTGGTTGAAGAGTTGATGGATCATACAATGATGTGGGCCTTAGGCTGAAGAGTCGGATCATAGTGTGACATAGGCCTTAGGTTGAAGAGTCAGATCATAGACTGATATGGGCCTGTGGTTGAAGAGTTGATGGATCATACAATGATGTGGGCCTTAGGCTGAAGAGTCGGTTCATAGTGTGACATGAGCCTTAAGTTGAAGAGTCAGATCATAGACCGATATGGGCCTTTCGTTGAAGAGTTGATGGATCATACAATGACATGGGCCTTAGGTTGAAGAGTCAGATCATAGTGTAACATTGGCCATTGAAGAGTTCACAGATCATAGCATGACATGGGCCTTATTATTTTTTCCCCAAGTGCAGTACAAGAACTAAAAAAGCCTCCTGTTTTCAGAAAATAAAACTTTCAAACCTTACCAGTCAAAGCCCAGTGTCCTTCATGTTAGGAGATGAATCGTCTCCATTACAACTAATATGTTTCCTCTATTGGGAATTGTCCGGTGTTATGGGCTACAATGGTAGACTCACCCTGGCTTGCAGTGATTTCTGACATCTGTGAATTCTGCTCCTCCTCTCATATACTGAATGGAGTCTTACAATCAGGAAGCGTTTATCCTCTCCTTCCTAGGGCAGACAGGAGAAAAGACAAGAGTTAAACAAGAGCTTGATTAGATCTGACCTTCAAGAAGATAGTACGGTTGTGTATTCCTTTAGACAGAATTACATGTATGGTTACGTACAATTAGTGTGATTGTTGTATCAGCCAAGAAACAGGATCCCAGATCACCTCCCCGCTGTACTGCGAAGATGGGGAAAGGTGGAGGTGTGGTTTAGCCCTAACACACTTCATCCCCAAGGATGACAATGGTGATACTCCATAGTTAGAGTACAGGACAAGAAGCGGGTTACTGGCAGGATTACAGGTGAAAATAAAGGAAAAAAGCCTGATAAAGAAAAAGAATGCAGCCATCACATCTAAGGAATGGTAAGGAGCTATAATATATTTTTGCATTTGGCAGCACACATTGATTTGTGTCCCACTGGTGGCAATCAGGATGGGCCTTGTTGATGCCTTTAGTTGCCACAAAGCAGTTCTCCGAGAGGAGGCAATCAAATCTCACCCACCCCCACTCAAAGGAATAGAACAGTGGGGGGAGCCCCTGAGGATATCCCATAGGACGAAATGCTTTGGGCGGATCTAGCAGATTGACGTCATACTCAGGCAGGAGTCTTGCCAACAGTGTCTGCTGTATGTTTTAGCTGGCTTGCCTTAATTTTTAGCTCATTATTTTAAATTGCACCAATGGTAACACTATTTGTAGCTTCTTTCTACTCTTTCCTGGGGATTTGGAGAACATTTTCCACCCTTTCAGACTGGTGAACAGTGGAAGGCCTAAAGAACAGTTTGTTTCCATGTTGACTTCTATATCTGCGAGGTCCTACTGTCCGGTGAGTGTGCACCCAGGTAACTTTTTAGTGGTTGGTGTCCATCATAGAGGTCTCAGCCTGTATAGGAGCAGTGTGAATACAAAGCATTTGCAGAGTTTCAGCAAGCTTTGTTGAAGCTTTTAAAGTACCATTCAGCTCCAGTTTGTAAATGCTGAACACAGATACTAATGGGAGTGCTGATTGCCACTTTAAGCAAACTGCTAGCAGGCTTCAGCAGCTTTCAACAAGCTTCAAGAAGTTCTGAAGCCTGCTAGCAGCTTGCTTAAAGTGGCAAGCAGTGCTCCCAATAGGATCTGTGTTCAACATTTACAAACTGGAGCTGAATGGTACTTTAAAAGCTTCAACAAAGCTGTGCTAAAGGTTCTGCAAATGCTTTGTCATAGCTTGCTATTCACACTGCTCTTATATAGACTGAGGCCCGTGTGAAACAGGCCCAAAAGCCTTTTGTGCAAGCATTTCCTCCTGTTTGGAGGGCTGATCTCCAGGATTTTAGGATTGGACTTTTTGGATTGTTATGGAGGATATGGACTCTCAACATGAGATACATATTCTGACATTGGTCTCTTTTATATGAGGTGGTATACAAGGACTTTATATATCGTTCTTTTTCACTGGCTGTTTGTAAGTATTATTGTGGATTGAGCTCTTTACTTTGTTGTAATGGGACATGCTCACCACTAATGGTGAGTATAAGAGACCTTAGGGATCCTTGTAATAAATGGACTTACGTTGGCGATCTGCTCCTTCAGCAAGTTGATGACTTTTCTCTGTCCTTTTACAATCTGGATATGGAAGTAAATTACCACCCTGGGAAAACAATATTATCATTAGAATATTTCTCTCTTCAGATTATATAATGCAGTACTTTGTAGACGTTCATCACATTCAACAGGAAATGCTCAGCAATTAAAAAAAAAGTCTCATCAACCATCTATGTATCTTCTGCAGCTCTGATGATACTATCTGGATGAGTATCAGAAAGTTCAACAGATGAAGGACATTTATATGTGACCAATTAGGGGTACCTTGTCCTGGGTAGTTGAGAACCTTCACAAACAACTCTTTATTTATCCAACCTATACTCTCAAAGTCTACTTATTCACCATAGTTCCACAGATTATTTCTTCTCTTTCATGTAAAAACTTCCCTGGCATTCAGTCCCACCAAGAAGCCAAGGCATGGCTTAGCCTGGTGGAGCCACCATCTATTATAGGGGGTACTACCACAAACAACTCTTTATTTATCCAGCCAATACACTCAAAAAATCCACTTGTTCACCACCATAGTTCCACAGAATAATTTTCTTCTTCCACGTATAAATTTCCATGACACTCATTCCCACAACATTAACCTGGTGGAGCCAACATCTACTAAAGCAGGGGTGTCCAAACTGTGGCCCGAGGGCCCTTTGCGAGCCTTTATCCAGCCCTTGGGGCACTATTCCTCCCAATGATATGAAGCAGTATTCCTTCACTGACAACAACAACGGGGCACTATTGATAACACTTATGTGGTCCTATTCCTCCCATTAATACCAATGATGGGCACTACACTTCCTCCTACTGACCACCATCCTTGAGGCCATGTTTATTCTCACTGATGCTGGGCCCTAAACATTTTCTACGCCCACTGGCCACACTCCGGCCCATAATCCGAAGGACCATAATCCGGGGCCTTTGTTTGAGAAGTTTAGAGACCCCTGTAAAGGATGAGTCCACTCACTCTAGCTCTTCTGACCTAACCCATTGATTGACCCTTTAAGTGCATTCTTTGAATTTTTTTTTCCTAGCAGAGATGTATTTATCATCCAGTACTCTCCAGCAACTCACAACAGGACTGAAGATGCCACGTATATGAACAAAGTATTCTCCCAGAGGTAGTGGTGGATCCAGCTGACCCAGCTCAGACGAGGGTTCAAGACTTCTAGTTGCCGGACATAACTTTTGCCGGCCTCATTCATTGTGCTGAGAGATTGGAATGGGCCGCAGGATTTTGAAGGCGTTACCCTGTCAGAGAGAGAGGGATGGTGTCACTGCATATGGTATTAAAGGGAACGTTCTGTATAGTGGATCAGCGCACAAGATTTTTTTCTTTATATACAATTTGAATCCCTCAGCTCACAATCTGAACATTAATGTTCCTCAGCAAGTTGCCCAATGTAAATTCCATAAAAATGATCCTTATTGTGAGAACCACCAGCCGACACTTTGCCTGGCTGATGGTTCTCAATCACGGCAGCTCCGCCCCCCACTGACAATTGAGAACCAGAGTGGTTTCCAGTCATGTGATGCAGGCTGGAGACTTCATTGACAAAACAAGACTTCAACTCTTCAAGCAGTAGTAGTGTGCATCTGTTTAAAGTGTTACTAAACCCAGGACCCCGCATTCACTATATCCGCTCTCCCCGGACCCCGCATTCACTATATCCGCTCTCCCCGGACCCCGCATTCACTATATTCACTCCCTCCGAACCCCGCATTCACTATATCCGCTCTCCCCGGACTCCGCATCCACTATATCCGCTCTCCCCGGACCCCGCATTCACTATATCCGCTCTCCCCGGACCCCGCATTCACTATATCCGCTCTCCCCGGACCCCGCATTCACTATATCCGCTCTCCCCGGACCCCGCATTCACTATATCCGCTCTCCCCGGACCCCGCATTCACTATATCCGCTCTCCCCGGACCCCGCATTCACTATATCCGCTCTCCCCGACCCCGCATTCACTATATCCGCTCTCCCCGGACCCCGCATTCACTATATCCGCTCTCCCCGGACCCCGCATTCACTATATCCGCTCTCCCCGGACCCCGCATTCACTATATCCGCTCCCTCCGGACCCCGCATTCACTATATCCGCTCCCTCCGGACCCCGCATTCACTATATCCGGTCTCCCCAGACCCCGCATTCACTATATCCGCTCTCCCCGGACCCCTCATTCACTATATCCGCTCTCCCCGGACCCCGCATTCACTATATCCGCTCTCCCCGGACCCCGCATTCACTATATCCGGTCTCCCCGGACCCCGCATTCACTATATCCGGTCTCCCCGGACCCCTCATTCACTATATCCGCTCTCCCCGGACCCCGCATTCACTATATCCGCTCTCCCCGGACCCCGCATTCACTATATCCGCTCTCCCCGGACCCCGCATTCACTATATCCGCTCTCCCCGGACCCCGCATTCACTATATCCGCTCTCCCCGGACCCCGCATTCACTATATCCGCTCTCCCCGGACCCCGCATTCACTATATCCGGTCTCCCCGGACCCCGCATACACTATATCTGCTCTCCCCGGACCCCGCATTCACTATATCCGCTCTCCCCGGACCCCGCATTCACTATATCCGCTCTCCCCGGACCCCGCATTCACTATATCCGCTCTCCCCGGACCCCGCATTCACTATATCCGCTCTCCCCGGACCCCGCATTCACTATATCCGCTCTCCCCGGACCCTGCATTCACTATATCTGGTCTCCCACAGTACACAGAACATAGAAATGCAATTATTTTAGTCAACATAAACTGCTAAATCCCTTTTCTCATCAGTGGTATATAGCAGTTTTGTGACTTCTTTAACCAGCAGAGCACTGGTTAAAGCCTGTAGGAGGAGTTTTCATTCTCCTCTGACTGTTCTGTGAGGCTGCATGATCCCTGACCCTCTGTCTGGATACTGATTGGCCCTGTGCCAATCACATGCACCCTCCCAAAAAAAAAAGCAATTCACACCAAACTGAGCATATACAGGGTGCTTCCTAAGGCTCTGTACTAATAGCAGATGGATTGGGGACTGTGGAAGAAGGAGAGGATCAGAGAAGACAGGATCAAACAGCCTTTTTTACACAATATGGAGGATTAATCCCTTAGGTTCCACAGTGAGTATAACAAGCATGCTTTACTGCATCTACAGACTGATTTTACGGTTGTGGGTTTAGTAACACTTTAATACAGTACTTGTCAGTTACACTTACAGTTCAATTACAGTATGAAGAAAAATATTAAGAAAAAATGTTTTCATTTTTGTACATTTCATAGCCTATAATAAAAAGGCAGCACAATATTTATTTTTAAAAGGTGTACTAAATAAAAGCCTTCTATGTCCTTAAAACAATGCCATATATATTATTCATAGAGTCTCTTTCATGCTGAATACATTTGGCCCCATCTAGGCATTAATCACCTTTGGTCAAAAAAGGATTAAAAACAATAATCTTCTCTTTCAAACTTAAATAAAAAAAAAATTTAAATGACCGCAAATGTTAGGTGTACACCTTTGTGTCTGCATTTTCATACTTCTTTTTTGCATTTTTTAAATGCGCTGCCACTGAAGTCTATAGGGCCATAAATGTGCGTTGGTGCACCAAAAAAGCACCTGCGGTATTTTTCACGACCCAGGGAAGTGCAGCGTACAAGGGTGAATGGGACCCATGGAAAAGAATGGAAATCATCTTGTCGTGCATTGTTACGTGTCGGGCAAACGCACGTTAAATCACACACGTGTGAACAAGGACTAGGGACTCCTCTATTAACAAGCAAAAAATATGAAGAATCATCTTTTGTCTGCATCGCCACCTACAGGCGTACTTTGGTACTGCAGCCCCAACTATAGAACTCGCGTAAGTACAGAGCTCAAGTCTAAGTTAAAGCACAGCACTAAGCACACAGATTGACCCTAAACACACATCTCGACCCAAGCACAGCTCTCGGCCCCAAGCACAGCTCTCGGCCCCAAGCACAGCTCTCGGCCCCAAGCACAGCTCTCGGCCCCAAGCACAGATCTCGGCCCCAAGCACAGATCTCGGCCCCAAGCACAGATCTCGGCCCCAAGCACAGGCGTCGGCCCCAAGCACAGGCGTCGGCCCCAAGCACAGGCGTCGGCCCCAAGCACAGGCGTCTGCCCCAAGCACAGGCGTCGGCCCCAAGCACAGAACTCGGCCCCAAGCACAGAACTCGGCCCCAAGCACAGGCGTCGGCCCCAAGCACAGGCGTCGGCCCCAAGCACAGATGCCAAACCCAAGCACAGATGCCGGCCCCAAGCACAGATGCCCTCCCCAAGCACAGATCTCAGCCCCAAGCACAGATCTCGGCCCCAAACACAGATCTCGGCCCCAAACACAGATCTCGGCCCCAAACACAGACCTCGGCCCCAAACACAGATCTCGGCCCCAAGCACAGACCCCGGCCCCCCAAGCACAGAATGCAGCCCCAAGCACAGATCTCGGCCCCAAGCACAGATGCCGGCCCAAGCACAGATGCCGGCCCCAAGCACAGATGCCGGCCCCAAGCACAGATCTCGGCCCCAAGCACAGATCTCGGCCCCAAGCACAGATCTCGGCCCCAAGCACAGATCTCGGCCCCAAGCACAGACCCCGGCCCCAAGCACAGAATGCGGCCCCAAGCACAGGTGTCAGCCCCAAGCACAGGTGTCAGCCCCAAGCACAGGTGTCGGCCCCAAGCACAGGTGTCGGCCCCAAGCACAGACCCCGGCCCCAAGCACAGAATGCAGCCCCAAGCACAGGTGTCGGCCCCAAGCACAGATCTCGGCCCCAAACACAGATCTCGGCCCCAAACACAGATCTCGGCCCCAAGCACAGACCCCGGCCCCAAGCACAGAATGCAGCCCCAAGCACAGGTGTCAGCCCCAAGCACAGATCTCGGCCCCAAACACAGATCTCGGCCCCAAACACAGATCTCGGCCCCAAGCACAGATGCCGGCCCCAAGCACAGATGCCGGCCCCAAGCACAGATGCCGGCCCCAAGCACAGATGCCGGCCCCAAGCACAGATCCCGGCCCCAAGCACAGATGCCGGCTCCAAGCACAGATCTCGGCCCCAAAGCACAGATCTCGGCCCCAAGCACAGATCTCGGCCCCAAGCACAGACCCTGGCCCCAAGCACAGAATGCGGCCCCAAGCACAGAATGCGGCCCCAAGCACAGGTGTCAGCCCCAAGCACAGGTGTCAGCCCCAAGCACAGGTGTCAGCCCCAAGCACAGGTGTCAGCCCCAAGCACAGGTGTCAGCCCCAAGCACAGGTGTCGGCCCCAAACACAGATGCCGGGCCCAAGCACAGGCGTCGGCCCCAAGCACAGATGCCAAACCCAAGCACAGATGCCGGCCCCAAGCACAGATGCCCTCCCCAAGCACAGATCTCAGCGCCAAGCACAGATCTCGGCCCCAAACACAGATCTCGGCCCCAAACACAGATCTCGGCCCCAAACACAGACCTCGGCCCCAAACACAGATCTCGGCCCCAAGCACAGACCCCGGCCCCAAGCACAGAATGCAGCCCCAAGCACAGGTGTCAGCCCCAAGCACAGATCTCGGCCCCAAACACAGATCTCGGCCCCAAACACAGATCTCGGCCCCAAGCACAGATCTCGGCCCCAAACACAGATCTCGGCCCCAAGCACAGATCTCGGCCCCAAGCACAGATGCCGGCCCCAAGCACAGATGCCGGCCCCAAGCACAGATCTCGGCCCCAAGCACAGATCTCGGCCCCAAGCACAGATCTCGCCCCAAGCACAGATCTCGGCCCCAAGCACAGATCTCGGCCCCAAGCACAGATCTCGGCCCCAAGCACAGACCCCGGCCCCAAGCACAGAATGCGGCCCCAAGCACAGGTGTCAGCCCCAAGCACAGGTGTCAGCCCCAAGCACAGGTGTCGGCCCCACAAGCACCCAGGTGTCGGCCCCAAGCACAGACCCCGGCCCCAAGCACAGAATGCAGCCCCAAGCACAGGTGTCGGCCCCAAGCACAGATCTCGGCCCCAAACACAGATCTCGGCCCCAAACACAGATCTCGGCCCCAAACACAGATCTCGGCCCCAAGCACAGACCCCGGCCCCAAGCACAGAATGCAGCCCCAAGCACAAATCTCGGCCCCAAACACAGATCTCGGCCCCAAACACAGATCTCGGCCCCAAACACAGATCTCGGCCCCAAGCACAGATGCCGGCCCCAAGCACAGATGCCGGCCCCAAGCACAGATGCCGGCCCCAAGCACAGATGCCGGCCCCAAGCACAGATGCCGGCCCCAAGCACAGATGCCGGCTCCAAGCACAGATCTCGGCCCAAGCACAGATCTCGGCCCCAAGCACAGATCTCGGCCCCAAGCACAGACCCGGCCCCAAGCACAGACCCCGGCCCCAAGCACAGACCCCGGCCCCAAGCAAGACCCCGGCACAAGCACAATGCGGCCCCAAGCACAGAATGCGGCCCCAAGCACAGGTGTCAGCCCCAAGCACAGGTGTCAGCCCCAAGCACAGGTGTCAGCCCCAAGCACAGATCTCGGCCCCAAACACAGATGCCGGCCCCAAGCACAGATGCCGGCCCCAAGCACAGATGCCGGCCCCAAGCACAGATGCCGGCCCCAAGCACAGATGCCCTCCTCAAGCACAGATCTCGGCCCCAAGCACAGATCTCGGCCCCAAGCACAGATCTCGGCCCCAAGCACAGATCTCGGCCCCAAGCACAGATCTCGGCCCCAAGCACAGAACTCGGCCCCAAGCACAGAACTCGGCCCCAAGCACAGAACTCGGCCCCAAGCACAGATCTCAGCCCCGAGTGCTAAGCTCGGGTCGAAGTACAAAACTTTGATTTTTCAGATACAGACATAAATAGACATTTCACACACTGCTGAGTTCTTGGGGGGGGGGTAGAACTAATGTAAACCTTCTGAATTATATACAGTAGCTTATATACTATATGTACTGTAGATACACGTGCATTTCATCTACTTACGACCACACAGTGTAAGAGAGGAATATGGACGCCCCGAGAAAAGACGGAAAGCAAAGCAGAGTCAGAAACACCGTACTCATATGAGAGGCCCTCCACGGCTTACTGGGCGATCGGCAGTTCCGCATCAGGCTGGCCTACAAAAGTTTAAAATGAGATCTTATTTAAAGTGTTTGAAAACATCCGAAAAGAAAAATGAACAAAGCATAACCTGCTATAGTGTGTACTTGCCTCAATCCCAAAGCACCTAATGTGGTTCCTATTTGATCTCTCCTTTATCTGCATGAGTCATTCTGACAGGCTATGTAGACACCACAGACACCCACTCCCCCTCCAGCACACAGAAGGTGGTTGACAGCCAGGGGGGTTTGTCCTTTCCCTCAACTCGGGTCTCAGATTACACTCAGCTCTCCTCTCTCAACTTGTGCAGTGTGTAACCTAAGATCCCCACCCCTGTTTGCTGGAGCTGAGCAAAAGCCTTTGTGATTTAGAAGGCTGTAGACAAGAGAGGGCTGCAGATAAACAGGTACAACGTATGCAGGAGGAGTTGTTAGATCTCTGTGTATCACATGAGGCCAGTCACTTCACTGAGTATATGTAAGAAAGCGACCACTTAACAAGAATAGGTCTACACCATTTCCAGACCTACTACAGGATGAAACATATCCACATCCAAACCGCACCCAGATTCAGTGTAAAAAATCCATAATAATTATAACATTCAAAAACACGTCAATTCTGCTAGAAGTCCAGTGAGCTCCTCTTCTGTACCTGAGGTGTGGAGTCTAAGCACTAACTGGTGTTCACCAGAGCTCCTGATGGTGGAGATGGATTTTGCTGCGTGTTAGCACCAGGTCCGGTCCTCAGGATCACCCCACCAGGAGGTGAGCAAGCAGAGGTCCAGTAGCGTATAAGCAGGTAAGGATCAAATGGAAGAGTGGTCAGTAAACAAGCCAAGGTCGGTAATGGCAATGAGCAGTCGCAGGTGGGGTCAGGCAGAAGCATAGTCAAGAACAAGCCAAGGTCGGTAATGAGCAGTCGCAGGTTGGGATCAGGCAGAAGCGTATTCAAGAACAAGCCAAGATCGGTAATGAGCAGTCGCAGGTTGGGATCAGGCAGAAACGTAGTCGAGAACAAGCCAAGGTCAGTAATGAGCAGTCGCAGGTTGGGATCAGGCAGAAGCGTAGTCGAGAACAAGCCAAGGTCGGTAATGAGCAGTCGCAGGTTGGGATCAGGCAGAAGCGTAGTCGAGAACAAGCCAAGGTCGGTAATGAGCAGTCGCAGGTTGGGATCAGGCAGAAGCGTAGTTGAGAACAAGCCAAGATCGGTAATGAAAAGCCGCAGGTTGGGATCAGGCAGAAGCGTAGTCAAGAACAAGCCAAGGTCAGTAATGAGCAATCGCAGGTTGGGATCAGGCAGAAGCGTAGTCGAGAACAAGCCAAGGTCGGTAATGAGCAGTCGCAGGTTGGGATCAGGCAGAAGCGTATTCAAGAACAAGCCAAGGTCGGTAATGAGCAGTCGCAGGTTGGGATCAGGCAGAAGCATATTCAAGAACAAGCCAAGATCGGTAATGAGCAGTCGCAGGTTGGGATCAGGCAGAAGCGTAGTCGAGAACAAGCCAAGGTCGGTAATGAGCAGTCGTAGGTTGGGATCAGGCAGAAGCATAGTCGAGAACAAGCCAAGGTCGGTAATGAGCAGTCGCAGGTTGGGATCAGGCAGAAGCGTAGTCGAGAACAAGCCAAGGTCGGTAATGAGCAGTGGCAGGTTGGGATCAGGCAGAAGCGTAGTCGAGAACAAGCCAAGGTCGGTAATGAGCAGTCGCAGGTTGGGATCAGGCAGAAGCGTAGTTGAGAACAAGCCAAGATCGGTAATGAAAAGACGCAGGTTGGGATCAGGCAGAAGCGTAGTCAAGAACAAGCCAAGGTCGGTAATGAGCAGTCGCAGGTTGGGATCAGGCAGAAGCGTATTCAAGAACAAGCCAAGGTCGGTAATGAGCAGTCGCAGGTTGGGATCAGGCAGAAGCGTAGTCGAGAACAAGCCAAGGTCGGTAATGAGCAGTCGCAGGTTGGGATCAGGCAGAAGCGTATTCAAGAACAAGCCAAGGTCGGTAATGAGCAGTCGCAGGTTGGGATCAGGCAGAAGCGTAGTTGAGAACAGCCAAGGTCGGTAATGAGCAGTCGCAGGTTGGGATCAGGCAGAAGCGTAGTCGAGAACAAGCCAAGGTCGGTAAGGAGCAGTCGCAGGTTGGGATCAGGCAGAAGCGTAGTCGAGAACAAGCCAAGGTCAGTAATGAGCAATCGCAGGTTGGGATCAGGCAGAAGCGTAGTCAAGAACAAGCCAAGGTCGGTAATGAGCAGTCGCAGGTTGGGATCAGGCAGAAGCGTAGTCAAGAACAAGCCAAGGTCTGTAATGAGCAGTCGCAGGTTGGGATCAGGCAGAAGCGTAGTCAAGAACAAGCCAAGGTCGGTAATGAGCAGTCGCAGGTTGGGATCAGGCAGAAGCGTAGTCAAGAACAAGCCAAGGTCTGTAATGAACAGTCGCAGGTTGGGATCAGGCAGAAGCGTATTCGAGAACAAGCCAAGGTCGGTAAGGAGCAGTCGCAGGTTGGGATCAGGCAGAAGCGTAGTTGAAAACAAGCCAAGGTCGGTAAGGAGCAGTCGCAGGTTGGGATCAGGCAGAAGCGTAGTCAAGAACAAGCCAAGGTCTGTAATGAGCAGTCGCAGGTTGGGATCAGGCAGAAGCGTATTCGAGAACAAGCCAAGGTCGGTAAGGAGCAGTCGCAGGTTGGGATCAGGCAGAAGCGTAGTCGAGAACAAGCCAAGGTCGGTAAGAAGCAGTGGCAGGTTGGGATCAGGCAGAAGCGTAGTCGAGAACAAGCCAAGGTCAGTAATGAGCAGTCGCAGGTTGGGATCAGGCAGAAGCGTAGTCGAGAACAAGCCAAGGTCAGTAATGAGCAGTCGCAGGTTGGGATCAGACAGAAGCGTAGTCAAGAACAAGCCAAGGTCGGTAATGAGCAGTCGCAGGTTAGGATCAGGCAAAAGCGTAGCAGACAACAAGCCAAGGGTCAATAACGAGTGATAGCAAGATATGGATGACAGCAGAGAAGGCAAGGAGCAAGATATCGGCTGGAGAGCACAATAATCTGGCAAACAAGAAGTGCAAAGACATGGCTTATATCAGGAAGTTCATGGGAGGAGCAAGGGGTTCAATGTTCATGACAAACAAGGTCAAGGTAGGATCATCCAAGTAATTGTCATGGAGCTGTCCAGCATTCCAGGTGGCTCAGCAAGAAGAAACATCGCCACTCACCGCAGAAGGCCCAGGTTCAGATCCAGGCTCTGACAGATGCAAAACTGCACCCTCTCCCCCACCCCTACTGCATGCCGTCACACGGGCGTACCACCTGTTCACTATGTAGACACCACAGACACCCCTTGCACAAGCTGTCCATAGTTGGTATGAAGTGCGCACTGCATATTCGTGGCCATTTTCTTGATTTTTGCAACAGTAGTTGTCAAAGTAGATCCTTTGGCCCTGCTTACTAGCCACTGTTCTAGAGCTTGGGTGCAGAAAGGGGTCCCCTTTCCTGCTGCACCCTGGGCAGCTGCCCCTCCTGCCCACTCCTTGTCTAGGCCCTGGTTGGAAGGATAGATATCTAGTGCATGTGAATACTGTATGCATTTTTATTGATACTATGCATATTTTGTGGCGTATGTTGTGTAATATTTTTCCTACAAGTGAGTACAGCATTTTTGTTTAGTAAAGCAAATTAACATACACTACAGAGGTTTTTATTTATTTATTTCAGGTACTTATATAGCGCCACCAATTTACGCAGCGCTTTACATATAAATTGTACATTCTGCTTCCTTCATTTTACCGCAAAGTAACCTTAAAATGAAAAGCAAAAAAACAGAATGGGGGTTTGGATGGTGGCATAATGGGCAAAAAATATTTCCCACCTGAAGAGTAGAACCTTGGATTTCATAAAGAGATGTTTGTGTGCGTTCCACACTTTGAATCATTCTGAATGTAGATCGTAAATTAGACAAAATTTTGTATGATCTCTCTTACCTTTTTGACATAAAAAAGCAGAAGTAATTTCAACATCTGGATGACTGGAAGTAGAGGACAAAACAGAACGCCCAGCCTGCAACCCAAGGGGAAAACATGAAAAGATTTATTAAAGATAAAATAAATTAAATGTTTGGAGTTAGATACAATTTAAAGTATAACGAAAGGCAAAACTTTGGAGAGAGTGCCGGGGTATTAAAGGTTTGTCAGTTTTTCACTGCTGTCTGTGGTCCCGTTAAGGAGATTCACCTTCTATTTTTCCTGTCTACTAATATCAATGAAAGTGAAAGTAAAAGAAAATCCCAAAGTTTGGGTCGTCCCCAAAAAAGTAAGAGGGGAAATCTTCCGATGGGGACATTAGTTTTGATCTCCAAGGAATTACCTTAATTTGCAGGGTTTTCCGCTCACTTCCTGTTTGCAGAGATTTCCCTCCACTTCCTGTCCCACTACCAATGGGGTACAGATGGCAAAACAAAAATCTGACAGGGGTTATAGCTCTCCCTTACATCCAAAATGAAAAAAAAAAAAACGTTTTTCCTATAGTTCTACTTTAAACCAAATATGTTGTTGTACACATGCCTGTGACAATACATTTAAGATGTATGTAAAGCAAAAAACATATTTTGGAAAGTGTGAGGAAGCATTAGACTGTTGAAAGAGAAACAAGGAGAAAGAGAAAAAAGAGAAAGAGAGAAAAAAGAGAAAGAGAAAAAAAAGAGAAAGAGAGAAAAAAGAGAAAGAGAAAAAAAGAGAAAGAGAGAAAAAAAGAGAAAGAGAAAAAAAGAGAAAGAGAGAAAAAAGAGAAAGAGAAAAAAAGAGAAAGAGAGAAAAAAAGAGAAAGAGAAAAAAAGAAAGAAAAAAAAAGAAAAAAAGAGAAAGAGAAAAAAAAAAAAGAGAAAGAGAGAAAATAGAGACAGAGAAAAAGAGAGAAAAAAGAGAGAGAGAGAAACAGAAAATTGGCAGTGATGAGTGTTGGTATCAGAGTATTAAGTCCACTATTTAATACTGTATTGTTTTGTCTGAGTTTCTCTCCTTCAATGCATACATCATTGTACATTGCCTTGAAAAAGTATTCATACCCCTTGAAATTTTCCCCATGTTGTCATGTTACAACCAAAAATGTCAATGTATTTTATTGGGATTAGATGTGATAGACCAACACTAAGAGGCACATAATTGTGAAGAGGAAGGAAAATGATAAATGGTTTTCAAATTTTTTTACAAATAAATATGTGAAAAGTGTGGTGTGCAGGGGCGTCCCTAGGGTTGGTGTCACCCGGTGCGGTAACACTTGGTGACACCCCCTCCGACGATCCCCGCAGAATGGATCGGATCTGCAGATTGAGCATAATGGATCGGACTCCGATCCATTATGCTCAGTCCGCAGATCCGATCCATCCTGCTGGGATCGCCGGCTTTCTTTACAACTTACGTTTTCGTGGAGCGGGTCCGGTGTCACCCCGTATAGGTTGCATGCTGACGATCCCCGCAGGATGGTTCGGATCTGTGGATTAAGCATAATGAATCGGAGTTCAATCCATTATGCTCCCCAATCCGCAGATCCCATCCATCCTGAGGGGATCGTCGGCATGCAACCTATACGGGGTGACGCCGGACCCGCTCCACGAAAAGGTAAGTTGTAAAGAAAGCCGGCGATCCCCGCAGGATGGAACACTTTTTCAAGGCACTGTACTAAGCGGATGGGGCCTTGAAATAAATTTCCAGTCTCAGGGAAGCCCTGCTAAAAATGACTATATCTGCAACTCATGATACATTAGTGTGATGGTCAGTGGGATGGATGATCCTTGCACTTGTGGTCATTGGTAAGAATTACTCCCTTACAGATAGCCAAGATTAATGATGTGAGTGGGACCTTATCTGAGAGGCAGAAATTGCTCATTGCTGAAGGAACCCCTAGCAACATCTGGAGGAACCCTAGGATTCCATTGGTGGTCAGTGGGAAGAATGCTCTATACACTTGCAGTCATTGAAATTAGTTGCCCCCTTACAGGTAGCTAAAAAGATCAATGGTGTCAGTGGGAACTTATCTGAGAGGCAAAAATTGCTCAAGGAACTCCTGGTAACCTCTGGAAGATCCCTAGGATTCCATTGGTGGTCAGTGGGAAGAATGTTCCTTACACTTGTGGTCATTTGGATGAATTGCCCCTTCCAGATAGCTAAAATGATCAATGGTGTCAGTGGGATCTTATCTGAGAGGCAAAAATTGCTCAAGGAACTCCTGGTAACCTCTGGAAGATCCCTAGGATTCCATTGGTGGTCAGTGGGAAGAATGTTCCTTACGCTTGTGGTCATTGGGATGAATTGCCCCTTCCAGATAGCTAAAATGATCAATGGTGTCAGTGGGATCTTATCTGAGAGGTAGAAATTGCTCAAGGAACTCATGGTAACCTCTTGAAGATCCCTAGGATTCCATTGGCGGTCAATGGGAAGAATGTTCCCTACGCTTGTGGTCATTGGGATGAATTGCTCCTTCCAGATAGCTAAAATGATCAAAGGTGTCAGTGGGAACTTATCTGAGAGGCAGAAATTGCTCAAGGAACTCCTGGTAACCTCTGGAAGATCCCTAGGATTCCATTGGTGGTCAATGGGAAGAATGTTCCTTACACTTGTGATCATTGGGATGAAAAGATCACTAGTGTCAGTGGGAACTTATCTGAGAGGAAAAAATATAGCTCAAGGGACCCCTAGCAACCTCTGGGAGAAACCTAGGATTCCATGGAACCGTTTGAGAAATCCAACAGTGAAGGGATGAATAGACAATGAAGATGAGGTGCTTATGGACGATGAAGATGCTGCAGTCTAGAATGCTGAAGGAGCCTTCTATTGAAGGTAACCCATTCTTGTTCTCTACACTGCCGATCTTACTCGTCGTCGGGCCCCATAGATAGAATGGGACATACAGAAAGCAGTAGTCATTGAGATGATCTCACCATGCCAGCGTCTGCCCATAAATGAGCTCCAGAACATTGCGAGCGATGTCAAACTCAGTGCGATACTTTTCATTCTTCTGTCTCTTCTGCTGGATTAACCTGTCACAAAAATCACACACAGACGGGTGAGTCGGCAAAGGCAGGCGAGGCGAAGGGTGGTGGGGCTGGAAGAGGCAGGCGGAGGGTGGTGGGGCTGGAAGAGGCAGGCGGAGGGTGGTGGGTGGTGGAGGCTGGCAGTGGCAGGCAGAGACTGGTGAGGGCTGGCGGGGGGGGGGGGGGGGGGGGGGGGGTGGGTTCCGCGACAGCTTGAACCGACAGATTTACCTGAATAATTGCTCTCCAAAGAGGGTGTCCAGCAGATTGAAGATCAGATCCATGACGACGAAGCGGTACAACTCCTGCCCCACCAGCGTCTCCCAACACTGAAACAACAAATACTAAACTCAGCATTGAATAGAATGAGTCTTTGTGAATTCATGAGAAGTACAGGGGGTCACCGGCATGGAAATCTCCCATCACCCTGCAATACGCTTTTCATCTATTAGTACACAAAGCAGGAGGGCAGGGAAGGGAGGACAGCTCATGCCAATGTAATGCCTATATCTAGGCAATTAAATAAAATCCTTTTTCTATTGCACCCTCCTTTTGATAATCTACTTTCGTTAAAAAAAAAATTAAAAAGTTACATTAAATGAATTTAAATTAAATTAAAATGTAATTATTAAAAAGAAAAAAAAAATGAATATTAAAAAAAAAAAAAAATTTTAAGCCCTGATTTTGTAGCTGAAACTGCAGCCACATCACTGGCCGTGTCCCAAGTCTTCCATCATCAGATCTATAGTGTGGGAAGGTAGCACTTTCAGCGTCCACATCTAGTGGACATTACCCACTGGATCCAAAAAGGGCCCACAAAGGGTTTTCATAGGGCCCCTTAGTTTTACAGCGACAACATCAGGACTCTGGACTGGTTAGCTGCCCAAGGAGCTGCTAGAATCACTGGCCCCCAGCAGATTCATGTCACTAATTAAGGATCTTAGAACATTTTTATAAAAGGCATAGTCCAATTTTTGGACCATGTTTAAAGTGTTACTAAACCCCGGACCCCGCATTCACTATATCCTCTCTCCACGGACCCCGCATTCACTGTATCCGCTCTCCCCGGACCCCGCATTCACTGTATCCGCTCTCCCCGGACCCCGCATTCACTATATCCGCTCTCCCCGGACCCCGCATTCGCTATATCCGCTCTCCCAGGACCCCGCATTCACTATATCCGCTCTCCCCGGACCCCGCATTCACTATATCCTCTCTCCACGGACCCCGCATTCACTATATCCTCTCTCCCCGGACCCCGCATTCACTGTATCCGCTCTCCCCGGACCCCGCATTCACTATATCCGCTCTCCCCGGACCCCGCATTCACTATATCCGCTCTCCCCGGACCCCGCATTCACTATATCCGCTCTCCCCGGACCCCGCATTCACTATATCCGCTCTCCCCAGACCCCGCATTCCCTATATCCGCTCTCCCCGGACCCCGCATTCACTATATCCGCTCTCCCAGGACCCCGCATTCACTATATCCGCTCTCCCCGGACCCCGCCTTCACTATATCCGCTCTCCCAGGACCCCGCATTCACTATATCCGCTCCGCCCAGGACCCCGCATTCACAATATCCGCTTCCCCCGGACCCCGCATTCACTGTATCCGCTCTCCCCGGACCCCGCATTCACTATATCCGCTCTCCCCGGACCCCGCATTCACTATATCCGCTCTCCCCGGACCCCGCATTCACTATATCCGCTCTCCCCGGACCCCGCATTCACTATATCCGCTCTCCCCGGACCCCGCATTCACTATATCCGCTCTCCCCGGACCCCGCATTCACTATATCCGCTCTCCCCGGACCCCGCATTCACTATATCCGCTCTCCCCGGACCCCGCATTCACTATATCCGCTCTCCCCGGACCCCGCATTCACTATATCCGCTCTCCCTGGACCCCGCATTCACTATATCCGCTACCCCCGGACCCCGCATTCACTATATCCGCTCTCCCCGGACCCCGCATTCACTATATCCGCTCTCCCCGGACCCCACATTCACTATATCCGCTCTCCCCGGACCCTGCATTCACTATATCCAGTCTCCCGGACCCCGCATTCACTATATCTGCTCTCCCCATCAGAATCCCGCCAACCAACATCAGGATCTTTATCAGAGTCCCCCCTTACATCAGGTGACCCTATCAGAGTCCCTCCACATCAGGTGGCCACATCAAAGCCCCCCCTTACGTTAGGTGTCCCTACCAGTTCCTCCCTTCAGGGTCCCCATCAGAGTCCCCTCCCCCACACTCACACACACACATACTAGGGTCCCCTTTAGAGCCCCCCCCTCCCACATCAAGGTCCCCATCAGAGTCCCACCGCACATAAAGGTCCCCATCAGAATCCCACCAACAAACATCAGGGTCCCCATCTGAGTCCCCCCTTACATCAGGTGTCCCTATCAGAGTCTCTCCACATCAGGGTCCCACCTTTTATTAGCTGGCCACATAAAAGCCCCCCTTACGTTAGGTGTCCCTACCAGTTACCCCCCCTTCAGGGTCCCTATCAGAGCCCCCCCCCCACACACACACTAGGGTCCCCTTTAGAGCCACCCCCCCAACATCAGGGTCCCCATCAGAGTCCCCCCTTACATCAGGTGTCCCTATCAGTTACCCCCTCATCAGATGTCCCTATCAGAGTCCCTCCATATCAGGGTCCCACTTTATATCAGGTGGCCACATCAAAGCCCCCCCTTATGTCAGGTCCCCCTTTTAGTTACCCCCACTTCCCCATCAAGGTCATCAGAGCCTGCCCCACCCACACACACACTAGGGTCCCCATCAGAGTCCCACCCCACATTAAGGTCCCCATTAGAGGCCCCACAACAATAGGGTCTCACATTACATCAGGTGCACCACCAGAGTGTCCCTAAATCAGGTGTCCCCTCAGAGTGCCACTGTAATTCACAGTCCCCATAGGAGTTTCACCCTACATCAAGGTCCCCATCAGAGTCCTACACCACATCATAGCCCTTCATCAGTGTCCCCACCCCACATCAAAGTCCCCATCAGAGTCCCCCCTCACATCAGGGTCCCCATCAGAGTCCCACCCCACATAAAGGTCCTCATCAGAAGCCCCTCCCCCACATCCGCGTCTCCATCAGAGTCTCACCTTACATCAGGTGTTCCCATCAGAGTGCCCCTGTAATTCACAGTCCCCATTAGTTACATGTAACAAAGCATGGTGGTGTTTTTTTAATATCTGCCCGGAGTTCAGTTGGAAGCTCTGTCACAGTCCAGATTCCATGTCCCCATAGCAGTCTGCGGAGGTGCGGGGCAGTCGGGTGTGATACGGACAATCGAATCTAATAAATCCTGAGATATTGATGCATTTACCATTGTTGTCACCTTTTTCCTGCCCCCTCCCACCAACTGTTAGTTCTTCCCTTTTACAGGTGCTTCTCCATACTATAGGGCCATCCGCCAACTCTCCAGCAACCAATGCCATGGGGAGATTTTCACCTCGTGGAAAGTGAATGGAAATCAACGGCATACCTTATAATCTGAGTAATTGGCCTTCCTTCTCAACCAATGGTAACACAGAATGCCAAGGATGACAATCTTCAGCAGAAGGTTTCTAGTAAAAAGAGTGAAAAAAAGATCACCAACAAAAATAATAACGACAGCTAATGTTAAAGAGGTACTCCGTCTGAAAGTGGTGTTCTACCTTCAGATAGATACATGTTCAGAAGGTGACTTAGTCACAGGATGGATATACACCGATCAGCCATAACATTCAGACCACTGGCAAGGACAGTGAATAACATTACCTCCTGACAATGGTCCCTGAAAGTGGCTGGGATATATTAGGCAGAAAGTGAACATGTTGTCCCTGAAGTTGACGTGTTGAAAGCAGAAAAAAATAGACAAGCATAAGGATTTGAGCAACTTGACAAGGGCCAGGTTGTGATGGCTAGACAACTGGGTCTGAGCAACTCCAAAACTGCAGCCCTTGTGGGACATTCCAAATGTGGTCCAAGGAAGGAGAACCAGTGAACTAGCAACAGCTCTTTGATGCACATGGGGAGCGAAGGCTGGTGTATGTAGTCCAATCCAATAGAAGAGCTACTGTACATCAAATTCTGATAGAAAGGTGTCAGAACACACAGAGCATCGCAGTTTGTTGTGTATGGGGCCGCGTAGCAACAGACCGGTCAGGGTGCCCATGCTGACCCCTGTCCACAGCCAAAAGCACCTACAATGGGCATGTGAGCATCAGAACTGGATTACGGAGCAATGGAAGAAGGCCTAGTCTGGTGATTTCAAGAATGGTTTGAGGAACCAGATGATTTCCCGTTGTTGACCTGGTCTTCAAATTCTCCAGATCTCAATCCAATCGAGCATCTGTGAGATGTCCTGGAAAAACAAGTCTGATCCATGGAGGTACCACCTCGCAACTTACAGAAGGATCTGCTACTAACAGCTTGGTGCCAGCATACCATCAGAGGTCTAGTGGAGTCCATGCATGGGCTATGGTCATAGTGGTCATAGTGCTGTGGCTAATCGGTGTTTCTTTTGGGTTTAGATATGCTTTAAAAACAATTCAGACTGAGACAATGCCTCAGTGGAGATTGTTGTCTGGAGCTTTACTACTGGTTGGGGAGGACACCTATCACATTGCACACTGCCCTAGTAGTCCTGTTCTATGACATCTAAGGCTCTTACCTGCAGATGGCAATGTAGACTTCCAGTATAGGAGAGTCCAGGCGCTCCCAGAGTCTTAGGGCGTTATACATGTATGGCAGTAGAAGGTTACACAGAGATACAGCCAAAGGCAGTAAGAGCAGCATAGCTTCCTCCTCCAGGTCTCTCTCACTATTCATCCGCGCCCGATGATCCTGCACAAATCATAACAACAGAATGTTAAAGTGACCTTCGTATCTTCTGTGAGCCAAGCTGAACCACCAATCCTTCTGTTAGTGAGAAGCCTACATCTGATCCTACGACTCAGCCAATGCCAGGTCCTACACCTCAGCCAATGCAGGATCCTACACCTCAGCCAATGCAGGATCCTACACCTCAGCCAAGGCCGGATCCAGGCCGGATCCTACGCCTCAGCCAATGCAGGATCCTACGCGTCAGCCAATGCAGGATCCTACGCCTCAGCCAACGCCAGAT